GCTAAACTTATATTTTCATTTTGGTTAGTGTACTGTCTTGGGTCCTTTTATTTCATCTTGAAGAACTCCCTTTAGCATTTCTTTTTAGACAGATCTAGAGTACTAATGAACTTTCTCATCTCTTCTTTATCTAGGAAAGTCTAAATTACTCCTTTATTTTTGGAGGTGACTTTTGCTAAAAAGTAGTTCTTAGCAAAATCCATTAAAGAGTAAAATCAATTAAAAAGTAATTTTAATTGTGTCTCTTTGTGAATGGCCTTGGGTCAATTTTAGTTAGAGTGGTCAAGCTTCTTTAATTTATATATACTTTTTTTTTTCAGATTTGGGACCTTTTGGAAATTCTTAGTTCAATTGCATATTCTGATCATCTGTCTTCTACGTATGAACCTCCAATAGTTTGTGTATTTTTCCCCTTGATCACTTGATAGTATCCCACAAATTTATTAGAATCTGTTTCCTTTTCTTGGCCAGGTATGGTGGCTCACACCTATAATCCCAGAACTCTGAGAGGCCAAGGTGGGCAGATCACTTGAGGCCAGGAGTTTGGGACTAGACAGGCCAAAAAGATGAAACCCCATCTCTACTAAAAATACAAAAATTAGCCAGGTGTGGTGATGCACATCAGTAGTCCCAGGTACTTGAAAGTCTGAAGCATGAGAATCACTTGAGCTTGGGAGATGGAGGTTACAGTGAGCCACAATTGTGCCACTGTACTCCAGCCTGGACAACAGGTGAGACTGTGTCAAAAAAAAATTTTTGCTGTTGTTTGCTTTTCTTTATGTTTTTTTTTCTTTGAAGATGATCCTCTGGAGTAAGATATCTTTATTTTTGCTTATTTTTTTCTGTGCCTTGTTCAGTCTAATGTTTTGCAGCCTAACGAATTTTTTTTTTTTTTTTGGAGACGGAGTCTCGCTTTGTCACCCAGGCTGGAGTGCAGTGGCCGGATCTCAACTCACTGCAAGCTCCGCCTCCCGGGTTTATGCCATTCTCCTGCCTCAGCCTCCCGAGTAGCTGGGACTACAGGCGCCCGCCACCTCGCCCGGCTACTTTTTTGTATTTTTTTTAGTAGAGACGGGGTTTCACCGTGTTAGCCAGGATGGTCTCGATCTCCCGACCTCATGATCCGCCCATCTCGGCCTCCCAAAGTGCTGAGATTACAGGCTTGAGCCACCGCGCCCGGCCAGCCTAACGAATTTTTACTTCAGCTACTGTATTTCCACTCCAGAATTTGATTTTTGTTTTCAATAGTTTCTTCTTTGTTTTTATATTCTCTTTTTCATGTATTGTTTTCCCAATTTCACTTAGTTGTTTATCTCTGTTACCTTTTAACTCATTAGGTATCTCTAGGTAACTGCTTAAAATGATTCTCAAGCAATTCAGAGTGCTGTCTTAAAAGGTTTGGTTTCTGGAAATAAATTTATTACTATAATTTTGGCTACATTTCTGTCTTCTTGTACTCCTTTTAATTTTTGTTTGAGGTTTAGTGAAATAACCACTCTTCCCAATGGTTTTGTATAAAAATTGTGTAGGGGGAGAACTTTACTAATGGGCCTGTTGTACAGGATGAATGGACATTCACTCCTTTTCCGTGGGTGTGTCTTTCTTGGTTTCATGCATGTACTATTACTAATGGAATCATTGCTGCTCTTTAGTATCTTATTTTCTCTAAAGGGCTAACTCCTGGTTTTTCTGAGAAACTTTGAGTTTCTGTTGTATTGTTCTTCTCATAATCTTTATTACATTCCTTCACAGTCCTGCTGACTCCTGTATATTTCCCATTGCTCCAATGTATCACCTTACTCTCTTACATTTTTGGCATTGTGAACGTGTTATACCAAGTATGCTGATATTCCTTGCAATATCAGAGACAGATGAGGTAGTTTCTACTTCCTTCATTAGATTCTAAACATGCCAGAACCATGGGTTCAAGTTTCTCTTTTCATGCATTCCCAGGGAGGATCTGTGTATGGAGAATCAATGCAAGAACCAAGCCTATTAAAAATCAGATCAGATTAACCTCTGAGTCCCATCTGCCCAAACTGCAGCTGTTTCAGGGTGAAAGAAAAATTTATGTATGTAATCAAGTGGAAAAGTCTATTGAACAGAGTCCCTCAGTTTTACCACTTGAAAAAATTTCTTCTAGTGTGAAAACCCACATTAATAAATGTAGCAGTGATTTTATTGATTCTCCACTTCTCCCACAAGAACGGACAACACACATTAGGGAAAATTCTGATGAATGTAATGAGCATGGCAAAGTCTTTAGAGTGTCTTCAATCCTTGCTAACCATGACATGATCCTGGATCCAGATAAACTTTACAAATGTAATGAGTGTGGTAAAGTCTTTAGGAACAATTCATACATTGTACAATACCACAGAATTCATACTGGAGAGAAACCCTACAAATGTTACAAATGTGCAGTATCTTTAATCGCAATTCACATCTTGCAGAACATCTGAGAATTCATACTGGAGAGAAACATTACAAATGTACGAAATGTGGCAAGGTCTTTAGTCACAATTCACACCTTACAGAGTATTGGAGAGTCCATACTGGAGAGAAACCTTACAAATGTAATGAATGTGGCAAGTTCTTTAGTCACAATTCAAACCTTGCACAACATCAAAGAATTCATACTGGAGAAAGTGTCAGAAATACAATGAATGTGGCAAAATATTTAATGAGTGGTCAGATCGCACTGTCCACCTTGTAATTCATACTGGAGAGAACCTTAGAAATGTAAAAAATGTGGCAAAGTCTTCAAGTATGAGTTATTCCTTATCAGTCATCAGAGAATTCATACTGGAGATAAACTTTACAAATGTAATGAGTGTGGTAAAGTCTTCAGGAAGAATTCATACCTTGCAAAACATCAGAGAATTCATACAGGAGAGAAATCTTACAAATATAATGAATGTTAAAAGGTCTTTACTTGCAGGTCACACCTTGCAGAACATTGGATAATTCAGAGAGAAGCCTTACAAATGTAATGCATATGGCAAAGTTTTTAGTCAACTTTCATACTTTGTATGACATCAAAGAATTCATATGGGCTCTCCCATATGCATCTCCCTAGGAATGCATGAAAAGCCTTACAAATATATTGAATGTAGCAAAGCATTTAGTGACTATTCAGGCCTTACTGTCCATCTTCTAATCCATAGTGGAGAAAAACCTTACAAAGTAAAGAACGTGGCAAGGTCTTCAGGCATACGTTATCTCTAAGCAATCATCAGAGAATTCATGCTGGAGCCAGGCCTTACAAATGTAATGAATGTGGCAAGGTCTTCAATTAAATTGCACACCTTGCATGACATTGGAGAACTCATACTGGAGAGAAACATTATAAATGTAATGAATGTGGTAAGATCTTTAGTCTCAATCCACACCTTACAGAACACTGGAGAATTCATATGGTAGAAAAACCTTATAGATGTAATGAATGTGGCAAGGTCTATAGTAGCTATTCATACCTAGCACAATGTTGGATAATTCATACAGGAGAGAAACTTTACAAATGTAATAAATGTGGCAAAGAATTTAGTGGGTATTCAAGTCTCACTACCCATCTGTAAATCCACACTGGAAAGAAACCTTATAAATGTAAGGAATGTGATAAGGACTTCAGGCACAAGTTCTCCTTAACAATTCATCAGAGAATTCATACTGGAGAGAGACATAAATGTAATGAATGTGGCAAAGCCTTTAATCAAATTTCACATCTTGCAAAACATCAGATAGTTCATACTGGAGAGAAACCTTACAAATGTAATTAATATAGCTAAGCATTTAGTGTGCATTCAAGCCTTGCTTTTCATAAAATAATCCACAATGCAGAGAAACCTTACAAATGTAATGAGGAGGCAAGGTTTGTAAACAAAATTTCCACCTTACAAGTCATCACAGAGTCCATTCTGGAGAGAAACCTTACAAATGTAATGAGAGTGTAAGGTCTTCTGAGTGGTCTCCTGAGTGTAAGTTTTCTGTTTATACAAATCAAGTAAGAACATAAGCTTCCAGGCTGAGCACAGTGGCTCACACCTGTAATCGCCTCCTTGGGAGGCCAAGGCAGGTGGATCATTCGAGGTCAGGAGTTGGAGACCAGCCTGGCCATCATGGCAAAATGCTGTCTTTTCTAAAAATAGAAAAATTAGTTGTACATGGTGAGGAATGCATGTAATACCAGCTATTCGAGAGGCTGAGGCACAAGAATCGCTTGAGCCTGGGAGGTGGAGGTTGCAATGGGCAGAGATATGTGTGTGTATATATATATATACACACACACATATAAATATATGTATATATGTATATATGTGTGTGTGTCTGTGTGTATGTGTGTGTGTGTGTGTGTATATATATATATATATATAGAGAGAGAGAGAGAGAGAGAGAGACAGAGACAGAGACAGAGACAGAGACAGACAGAGAGAGAGAGAGAGAGACCGTAATAGGCTTCCTATCTATTTCACTGCAAGGAACATCATGATTAATTAACCAATGCCAGAGCTGTACATGAGTCAGACTATTCTGATTGCTGCTTTGTCTCTGATGCTCATTACAGGAACTACACCCACCTTGCCTTTAAAGATTGAGCACTGCCACTTGGCCCCTGCAACCTCAAGATCTAATTATTCCCATTGCATTTAATTTTTCCAGTTGGGTGACTGTGATTCCCACTCTAAGATCTGGCATACAGAGAAGAGCAATCACAGAGATTCTCAAGGATTTGTCTTCTCCTCACAAATCTATTTTGCAAGGTATTGGTGAAGGGAATGTCTTCTGGATCCTTCAAGTTGGGATGAGTAAGTTCTAAAATGGCAAACCCATGCTAGCATTCCAACCTGCCTAAGTCTTTGGATCTGTTCCTCTATATTAAACCAAGGGAGATCAGGCACTTTAAACCAAGGGAGATCAGATTTCAATCCATGCTTCAGCTAACCAAGCAAATAAACTCTTAGAAACTTTTTCTAACTCACTGAACTGCAACACTAAATGCAAATTCCCTGATTTATTGAGCCCACATTAATAAATTCAGCCTGATACAATTTTATGTTCCTACCACCATTATCTCACACCCTGGTTCCCTGGATTTCTGCTTATGTAAGAAAACTCAAGCAGTTCTTTTGCAGTGCAGTGCACCTCCTCATGGGTCCCATCACCTCGAGGAGCCACTGGGACTTGAGTCTAGTTCAAGGTCTAGAGGCAAAGAAGGGTGGTGGGGGTGGATCCTGAGAAGAATCAGCATTGCCTTGCCCTGCAGCTGGCTCAGAGGAGGCTATTGTTGCTTCCTTAGGCAATGGACGGTGAATCTCCTCAGAAAAAATGTACAAAGACTAGAAGCAGCCTGGGTGGGGAAGAAGATGTTGCCACCATGAGGGATAGGGAGGACATTTTCTCTCACAAAAGGGGCTCATCAGAATTTAAGAGCTCAGTGTTCCCAGCTTCATCAGGATCCTCCCACACATCACCATGTCAAGTTACATGGTCCTAATCTTTCCCAACCAATGCCCTCACTTTATAGACACTTGGTGAGGCTGAGTGTGCACCAATTATTCTAGGCCATCCACTCACATAAGAGTTTGTGTCTGATTTTTGGCAATTTCAGCCTTTTGTCTATAAAAGAGTCCACCCAGGGTACCCTTAGAAACTTTGAGGTTAAGTATGATATCTTCTAGATCTGGGACTTATCTTCTCTGAGCTTATCCATTTCTTTCATCATTTTTTACCAGGGAACTTAGGAAAGCAACTTCATTATATTCTTTGGTTCTCCAGAAATGTTGAAAAGTATCATGTATAAAGTCACTAAACTCCTTGCCTCGTGGGAGTACTGAATCATGAGTATCAAATACATTTATTTTGCACAACTCTCTAAACAATGCATACCAGGACTATCAGTGCTCTCTGTACTATTAGAAGTACAGTCCTTAGCATTTTTAGTTCTAATAAGATTAGAGAGCCAACTCCAGAAGCCCCTAAACCAACTAAGGAAGTTCATCCTTAAAATTGTGTTCCTCTAGGCTGGACACAGTGTCTCACACCTGTATTCTCAGTACTTTGGGAGGCCAAGGCATGTGGATAGCTTGAGTTCAGGAGTTCAAGATCAACCTGGGAAGCATGGCAAAACCCCATCACTACAAAAAATGCAAAAATTAGCCGGGTATGGTGGTGCACACCTGTAGTCCCAGCTGCTTGAGGGGCTGAGGCAGGAGGATTCCTTGAACCTGGGAGGTGGAGGTTGCAGTGAGCCAAGATTGCATCACTGCACTCCAGCCTGGGCAAGAGTGAGACCTTGTCAAAAAAATATATATATATATACATATACGTATTGGCTCACACAATTACAAGGCAAACATCCCATGATAGGCTATATGCAAGCTGGAGAAGAGGGAAGGTGGTAGTGGCTCAGTCCAAGTCTGAAAGCCTCACAGCCAGGGAAGCCAACAGTGCAACCTTCAGTCTGTGGTAAAAGGCCCAAGAGATCTCAGGAAGCTGCTGGTTCAAGTCCCAGAGTCCAAAGACTGAAGAACCTATAGTCTGATGTCCAAGGGCAGGAGAAGCTTAAGCAAGCAACCAGCATGGGAAGAAGAAAGAGAACCAGAAGACTCAGCAAGTGAGGTTATCCCACGTTCTTCCACCTGCTTTGTTCTAACCACACTGGCAGCCAATGGATGGTGCCCACTCACATTGAGGGTGGGTCTTCCTCTCCTAGTCCACTGACTCTAATAATCTCCTCTATCAACACCCTCACAGACACACCCAGAAACAATACTTTATCAACCATCTAGACATCCTTCAATTCACTCAAGTTGACACCTAATATTAACCATCACATTATTCAGACATCACAAAATGAAGTCTAACTCTTTAGGATAACACTGAATGTTTACTCTTGAAACTCCAGACTTGGTTAGGAGAGACTTCAACTTTCTTCATGGTAATAGCTTATTACATTCCTCTTGTGGCTGCACACATAGGTCCCATTGCACAATATGACTGTGGAAAATACTTGTGAAATATTGTTTAGTAAAACTGCCTAAGATATTTTTCATAGCAGTTCAGTGAAAATTATTGTGAAGTGTTTACTACATAATATATTATTATATAATTGTTATATAATAAATATGATTCTACTAGAAGAGCATTTTTCCAAAAGCTATGGAAATGTCATTTTTGATTATGGTATTAAGCAAAACATTCTCTGGTTCTTTTTCAATTGTAATAAAATTATTTTTTGTTTTTGTATATAATTAAAAAAATTTTTTTTCTTTTCCATAGGTGGCAGTCTACATTCTATGTTTGATGCATTTCTTCCCTTTGTTACTGTAGTGAAAGGTTTAGGGGACACATAAATGAGGCTGTTATTTGGAGAAAAAAATATGACATGAGTATGTACATAAGACCATGGCAGGTATAAACTAGGTTTATTGTAAATATGAAAAAAGAAGGAAATACTTATACTACATTAGAAGCCTTGAAATCACATGAAATGATTCCAACACTTTATTTTTTTTCCAGATGTTTCAGGCATTCTAGTTTTTTCTCTTCTTTTGCCTTTCTACATAATTTTTTGGATAATCTTGTTAGTATCTACAAAATGCCTTGATAGGAAATGTATTAATATTGTGTATCAATTTGGTTAATTTCACATTGTTTGTATGTTGAGTCTTCCAATAAATTGACATTTTATATGTCTCCATTTGAGTGTTTTTTATTTCTTTCATCAGCACTTTGTAGCTTGTTTTCTTTCTTTCTTTTCTTTTTTTTAAAAGAGTTGGGGGTCTCTCTCTATTTCCCACAGGCTGGAATACAGTGGTTTGATTATGCTCACTGCAGTCTCAACTGCTGCCCTCAAGTGATCCTCCCACCTCAGCCGCCCAAGCAGGTGGGACTACAGGTTTGTGCCACCATGCTCAGCTAATCTAAAAAAATTTTTTTTTTTTTTTTAGGTGGCACTTCGCTCTTGTTGCCCAGACTGGAGCGCAGTGGCATGATCTCGGCTCACCATAACTTCCGCCTCCCAGGTTCAAAAAGTTACTAACAGATACAATCTACAAAGGTAAATTGAGGCATGGTGATTCATACCTGTAATCCCAGTCAGCATTTGGGAGGCTGAGACCAGTGGATTGCTTGAGGTCAAGGCTTCGAGACCAACCTGGCCAACATGGCAAAACCCCATCTCAACTAAAAATACAAAAATCAACTAGGCATGTTGCCATGTGCCTATAATCCCAGCTATTTGGGAGGCTGAGGCAGAAGAATCACTTGAACCTGGAAAGCAGAGGTTGCAGTGAGCCAAGATTGTGCTACTGCACTCCAGCCTGGGCAACAGAGTGAGACTCTGTCTCAAAAAAAAAGAAAAAGTAAATCGAGAGAGGGTTGCCTGGGAAAACATGAAATGAGTTCAAGGATAACAACATGGAACTTCATGAAAGGTTATTATATATTCATTATATATGCACACATTATATACACACACATGCAAACACATATTACAGTACTATGCTTACTATTATTCGACTCAATGTGACAGCACAGGAAAAATTTAAGGCCATGGAAACTACTGTAGAGATAATTTCAAGTGTTAAATATAAAACTTATTGATTAAATTATGATGAGTGTTTGATGAGAGCCATGACTTGCTCATCCATGCACTTGTGTAGACATATATATATACACAAGATTAAATTAACTCATATAACAGTTGTCTACCAATGAGTTTTTCAGCAACTTCTTAAAAATCACCATTTTTGTTTGTTTCTATGTCAGCACGTATGGA